GGTGCATTGTATGTCCAGAAAATTGATATTTGTTATTTTCTCTGAGGTTCAAGCTTTTTTGTATAATACTTTTTTTTCCCCCCTTGGTTATTTTTCCTTTTGTAAGTGTGCTGGTGTCCTTTGCACAGTTTTAACTTTATCTGGGCCTCGTTTTATTGTCATCTCTGAGCAGTTTTTCAGGGTGTTCCACTGATTCATCCTGGCAATCGCATGGTTTGCTAAGCAGGTTCATTTTATCTCCTTTCTGATACTTTCCCTTCTTAGGTTTCCTGAGTTCCATTTTCCTTGGCAGAGCCGTGACCGCAGGCCACCAGCTCTGGCCGGCAGCTCTGCTCTATGGCTGCTGCCCCAGTGGGTGGTTCTTGCCTTCCTGGAGGAGAAGGCACATTCTCTTTCCAATTTAAGGACCTTTCCCAGGAGTGGCTACTCGGTGTGCTAATTGATTCCCACCGATAGATTATCCTGCGTCCCTTGGATATACCCCCATGTTGTCACTGAATTGTCTTTTTGATGTAGTTATTTTTTAACTTTTTTTTTATACAGGACATAGATATCATTCTATTTTCCGTGGCTATCAGCAGCCACGCCCTACAGGAAGGTGGAACGTTACTTCTGAACTCACTGTGGGCTTTGACAACTGACCTACAATTTTTGCTCTTTGTTCTGCACTTGATGTTAATGATTATTGAAAATGAGAGATAAAAGGGAAGGGTTACCAGGTGTGTTCCCTTCCTCATGCTGGGAGGGGGTTCAGGCCAGAAATCAGGTCTTGCAGCATGAATTCATTCTGATATGATGATAAAGTTATACCCTGGTTTCTGCCCCAGAGGGTGTACTATGAGCTGGCCAGATGTGCTCACCTGACAGCTGTGCCTAGGTGGGGAGAGGAGGACAGCTAGCTCTGTCTTCTCCGAGGTTATTACCAGAACGGTAGCACCTGAAACTAGCAACTCTAGGGCCTTACTAAAGACAGAGAGCTCCACTAACGGCCTCTGTTGGCAAGGCAGTTCCATTGGAATTGAGGATCGTTCAGCATTTAGGGGGTGATGTGTGCTGGTGGTTCCTGGTCCTGGACCTTGGCTGGAAGGACTTCATGCTGGGTCAGCTGCACTGGCAACAACCTTGTCCTCTCTCCATTTGCTGAGGAGCCTGGCAGGGACAATGTCACATATATCCCCAAAGACCCAGCGTGGCCAGGAGTCGGCAGACATTTGAGTCGCACATGTGCAGTACGGCGCATCTCGCTTTGGGATGCCACTTCTTAATTCTCCATTCCACTTTCATGGTTTTACCCAGTGCTTCCTGAAAGCCGAGGAATAGGTAGCTGACTAAGAGGCTAAAGGAACACAGCAGGTAAAATTTAGCTTTGGTTCATGTCACGGCTACCTTTGTACTGATATTTCCACGACTCTGCAAAATTCTCGAGTTGCTTTTCACTCATCAAAGGATCCAGAAGAACTTTAGTAACATGTCTGTTCTATTATACTTTGATTAACCATGAGTCATCTCAGACGTGCATGGAAAGTCTTGGCAAGCTGGGAGCACCCTGAGCACCACCTGATCTTTAAAATGAACAAAAAGCAGTTGTTAAGCAAAATATTTAGTAAGACTGACACAGGTATGTTAATTTATGTTGTGAGTTTCCTGTGGCGGTGGCTGTAACAAGCGATTGCACACTCATCAGCACATGTTGATGGTCTGAGCCTGTGGGAGGCCAGACGTCTGTATTCAGTCTCACCGATGCTCTGACGCCCAAATCAGGACATCTGCAGGGCCAGGCTGCTTCTAAAAGAGAATCTTTTTCTGGGCCTTTTTCCAGTTGGGAATAGCTGCATTCTTTGAGGCTCCATTGTCTTTAGTTACTATAACAAAACACCCGAGGCTGGGATGCCTTATGAAGAAGAAGAGCTCGCGGGGAGTCAGTTCAGGAGCTCTCCTGTGGTGACAGTCACAGAACATCACCTGGCGAGACACAGCATATGTGCGTGCGTGTCTTCTGATGTCTCCCGCTGTTTCAGTGAAGCCGATGATGAGGCTTCCCACCTGATGACGCCCATCCTAGTCACTCCCCAAGAGCCCCATGTGTAGCACTGTAGTTGGGATAAATTTCCGTCCTCTTCACGGTCAGCAGAGTCATCCAGCTTCATTCTTCACCCTGCTTGCTTGGGCTGTGTGGATCTCTGCTCCCAGAGACAATGTGCAATGGAAATCCCTAGTCAAAGTGGGTTAGAGTGGACCAGAAAGAAGGGGCTCTTGTGCCCACACCCCTTGCAAACAGAGCTATCAAGAGTCTGTCCTAAACAGGACTGTTGCCCTGTTGTATTTCAGATAAGACAAGGCACCAGGGTCAGGACAGATGGCCAACTGCAGCTGTCTCCACCACCGAACACCTGCCGGCTCTTGCCGTGAGCCCCTCTGATCCACGAACTTTGCTCAGAGCCGTTTGCATGGACTCCCCTCTTTGCCCGGTCTCCTGGGGTGTGCCTGTGATTGTCATTCTGGAGTTTAACATTTGGCTATTCCCAAATAGCATATTTTGTCCAGGGCGCACCTCCCTGTGATGTTCCTTTTGCCAGCTTGATCCCCTCATGTGACAAGAAAATCTGTCATTGCATTTAGAGGTCTGTGGAATGATCCAGAACAATCTCCTGTTTGAACAGTGTGAATCCCAGTTGCCAAATCCCTTTTGGCATTCCGGGACACATGGATGGGTTCCGGGGATTAGCACCTGGGCTTCTCTGGGACCCTCATGCAGACAAGCACAGCCACCCCTTTGGCGACCTGGCACTTGATGGCTCTCTTGGCAGGTCCTTCAGTTGGGTGTCCACTGCAGGAGGCTCCCATTCTTGCCGCCCTCTCCTATTGCCCTGTGGGTCCCCACCCATTGCTCGGGGAGCCATTGGGAAGGTCTTAGATGGCGGTGTTTTTCACAGGGGACACAGGAATTTGGCAAATGTTGATGTGGCATGTTGGAACAGGCAGGTGCTGTTTCCACAGCCTTGGCTGTGCCAGCTTCTTCTGCCGTATGTTCAGGGTTCCTGTGTGACTGGGATTTTCTTAGAAGCAAAACCAAACAGACAAAAATCACCCCAAAACAAAACAAAACAAAGCAGAAATCTTATTTATTTGAAAGGCAGAGTGACAGAGAGAGCTTCCATCTAGGAGTTTACCAAATGTCCGTGACAGCCAGGGTTAGGCCAGGCTGGGTCTCCCATGTAAGCGGGAATACAGACAGTCTAAGGCACTCCCAATCGCTTCCTGAGTAGTGGAAGGGAAATCCAAGGATGTGGACCACTAGCAGCTGCCTCCCTGGCACAACAGCAAGATGCTGGACTGGAACTGTGGTGTTGCGGGACTTGGACCAGCACTCTCAGATGGGATGCAGGTGCCCAGGTAGTAGCTGAACGAGGCCCTTCTTTCTTCCCTCCTCCTTTTGTCTCCCATCTCCTTTTCTCTGCCCTCATTCCTTCAGGCACGTCCTGAAGCCATGACTTCTTGAGGAGTTCTTGAGAAGCCAGCTCCTCGGGCCCCAGTTAGCCTGTCTGCTCCTTAGCTGAACTCCGTCACTTTGCCTGTGTGGGCTTTTCATTTCCCGTTGTAAAGTGGGGAGCTGATAACAGGTGTCTGCAGGCCTGTCGCCCCGTCACTGTGAGTCAGTGGTTCCGTACAAGACAGCTCATCTCCACCCTGGCGGCCCTGCTGGCTTCCTGGAACTTTCTCGACAGGGGCTACGGACACCCGACCTCTGTGCCTATGCCACCCAGGCTGCTGGGAGAAGAGGCTGGGTCTTGGGGGACTTGCAGCCAGGTGCCCTCAGTGCTCAGGACCCGGGAATGCCAGGGTGGGGGTTCCTCCGAGCATGGCCTCCCATTTGGGCTTTCCCACAGACCCCAGTTTCCTAGGAGAACTGAGGGGCAGAAGGTGCTCTTTGTAAGGTTGTTCTATACCTGCTGTGTGGTTTGAATTCTTTCTTCTTTTTTAAATCACTTATTTGAAAGGAAGAATTCGAGAGAGAGATCTTCCATTGGATGGTTCACTTTGCAAATGGCTGCAACAGTCAGATCTGGGCGAGGCCAAAGCTAAAAGTCAGGAGCTACCCACAGGTCTCCCATGTGGATTCCAGGGGCCCCAGCACTTGGGCCGTCCTCCACTGCTTTCCCAGGGGCATTGGCAGGGAGCTGGACAGGAAGTAGAGCAACTGGGAGTGAACAGCCTCCCATGTGGGGCACTGGCATCGCAGGCAGTGGCCCAATTAGAGCTAGCCACAATGCCAACCCCTTGAATTACTGGGCTTCTAGTCACCTCTTATGAGATCTTTTCTTCCACATTATAAAAACATTATGAAATGGGGCTTTTGATAAGCTTCTGCCTGCAGTGTTGGCATCCCATATGGGTGCTGGTTTGAATCCTTGCTGCTCCACTTGCAAGCCCGCTCCCTGCTTATGGCCTGGGAAAGCAGTGCAGAGTGGCTTAAGTCTTTGGGCCCCTGCACCCATGTGGGAGACCCAGAAGGAGCTCCTGGCTTTGGACCAGCTCGGCTTCACCATTGTGGCCACTTGGAGAGTGAACCAGCGGATGGAAGATCTCTGTTTGTCTCTTTCCTGTCTGTGACTCTACCTTTCAAATAAAAATCTTAAAAAAAAATTATGGGAGAAATGAGAGAATCGATCATTTTGAATGACCTTAGAATGATAGAAATCAATGTCCATAATACGCTAGAACATACCAGAGAATTCAGATATGAGGTAAGAACCAGGAAGTCCTCTCCTCCCACAATCTGTCTTTGTGTATCCAGGCAAGCATGCATGCAAGTCCCTACAGGACAGGATCATCTCCAGACATAACTCTTCTGTTTTTGCTTTTTTCCATTTACAACTGGAAGCACACAAAATGACTGTGTGTGCTCCATCTGCTTGCAGCCACGGCATCAAGGTGAGTATTGTGAGGGTGGAGACAGAGTCGTCTCTACATGCTACTGATCGGTGGGGATGTTGTTTCAGGCTTGCCATCATGGAGGCGCTCTCAGAAGCAAACAGTACCTTCGCCCTGACCCTCCTGAAAACACTGGGTGAAGACAGCGGCAAGAATGTGTTTTTCTCGCCCATGAGCATCTCCGCAACCTTGGCCATGGTCCTGATGGGGGCAAAGGGAAACACAGCAGCTCAGATGGTCCAGGTACCGAACGTCATGGAGGGCAACAGGAAATGCTGTTGGGTGTCAGTCACATCCTCCACATTTTCAAATCCTAGGGGGATTGCTCTTGATGGCAACTGTGGGTTGACATCACAGGGCCATAGGGCAGGGGTGGAGAGCTGACAAGGAAGGACATGCTGCTTACTCCTGTCCCCTGGGGACAGAGATAGTGTGTCTGACTCAGAGGAGTGGGTAATTTCATCACCACGTGACCCGAGTTTGTAAGAGTTGTGCGTCTCAGGTTGATGAGTCCTCTGATATTCTGGGGATTGTCACCTCTGTTAGTCTGGGACTCAAACACTAAAAGGTATGGCTTATAAAGGCTACCCCTGTCCCCCACTGTTGGCCCTCTAGCTCCTAATGGTACTTAGCCTTCTCCACCTCCCCAAACCCTGAAGTCACGTTTCTTCCTGGAGTCAGACTTGGGCTGGGAGTCTTAGAACAGGACTGTCATGAACTAGAGGGACAGTCTGCTACAGACCTGACATGTAACAATGAGACTGGCGAGACAACTATAGTGCATGGTCCCTTGGGAAGTAGGGGGGTCTGCAGGTGCTGTGGAACAAGCACCACCTGCTGGGGGTCTTACGCCCCAGGCACGTCTGTCTCATAGCACTGCCCGAAATCCACAGTGACGGTGTTGGCAGGGTTGGTCGCTCCAGAGACCTCTTTCCTGCTCCCGGAATTGGCCTCTTCTGCCTCTGTCTGGGTCCTTGCTCTTCTCCTTAAAAGGGCCCCAGTTGGAGTAAATTAGATCTGACTCTAACTTAATGATCTCTTGCCCTAGCCCTAAGGATTAGGATTCTTAACGTGGGGAGTTTGAGGGGCACAGGTTGGCCTGCAGCAGGCGGTGGAGCAGACACTGCAGTCACTGGATGAAAAGCCAGAGCCCCATGTCTTAGTTTTAAAAGTTTTTTTTTTTTTTAAATCTTGGCAGATCTCTACCACCTGTTGCTGTAAGGCAAATCCTCCTAAAACTTAGTACCTGTAAATAATGGTGGATTTTTTTTTCCTGAATCTGTGGCTCTGCCAGGCAGTTCTGCTCAACATGTTGCCAGCTGGGCTCACTTCCTGTTTCAGCAGGAAGCTGGGAAGGGAATCCAAGGAAGCTTCTTTCAAGTCTGGCACTTTAGTTCTCTTCCAGGCAGGTCTCTCCTTGGATTGGGACCTTCTTTGGGACCCTGTGGCCAGGTCATTTGGCTTCCCTCCACCATGGTGGCTGAGACACAAGAGAGCAGGTGTGGCAGCTGTTTTAAAACGTCCAGATGTGTCTGCTGAGTTCTGCTGGCCAGAGCCGGCCCAGACCCAAGTGCAGGGCAGACTGCAGCCCCCACGTCACACATTGGTGGTCTGCCTGGCAGTTTTGTTTGCAGCCCAGCCGCCAGTCGTGAGCCTGACAAGCCTGGACCAAGGAAGGTCACGTTTACCAGGGCTGACAGGGCCCAGGCAGGGAGCTTGGCAGACACCAGGCTACTGTAGTTGATGGGTCTTCACCTGTATCGGTTGAACGGAACGTCCATCTGCATGCTTGTGAGGCTGAATTTTCATGTTGTGTTCATCTTCTAAAATTGTGTGTTTTCATTGTGTCTTGGACTGCAGGCACTTTCTTTAACTAAAACCCAGGGTGGTGGAGCTGGTGATGTCCACCAGGGTTTCCAGTCACTTCTCAGCGAGGTGAACAGGCCCGATACGCAGTACCTGCTTCGAACGGCCAACCGGCTCTTTGGGGAGCAGACTTGGGAATTCCTTGCAGTAAGTTGTCCTTGCTGGTTTGGACTGAGCAAGGTGATGGTTGGGCAGTGTGAATACAAGGGAGGTAGACAGTCCAGCTGGGTCTCTGCTCACGTGCTGTTGTGTTGCTTTGCATGACATAAACAAAAATTTCTTCGGTCACTTGTGAGTACATTTTGGCTGTGCAAATAAAGCAGCTAATGCAGGTATCCAAAGGTCAGTTTTCTTAAAGATTTATTTCTATGGTGATCAGTGTAATCATTTTGCAGGCTAATCCTCCACCTGAAGTGCCAGCATCCCATATGGGTGCCAGTTTGTGTCTCAACTGCTCTACTTCTGATCCAGCTCCCTGCCTATGACCTGTGAGAGCAGTAGAGTATAGCTCAAGTCCTTGGGCCTCTGCACTCATGTAGGTGACCTGGAAGAAGCTCCTGGCTCTTGGCTTCAGATCAGCTCAGCTCCAGACATTGTGGCCATTTGGGGAGCAGCAGATGGAAGATCTTATGCACTCTTTCTCTCTCATCATTTCTCCTCTCTATATAAATCTGCCTCTCAAATGATTTGATGCTTGGAATGACAGAGAAACATCTTTCAACTGCTGGTTCACTCTATATGGCTGCACCAGCCCGGGCTGAGGCAGACTGAAATCAAGTGCTTGGAATGCCTTCCAGGTTTTCCATATAGGTGGCAGGAACTCAAGCACTTGGGCCATCTTCTTTTGCTTTCTCAGGTGCACTAGCAGGGAGTTGGGTGGAAGGTGGAGTAGCCAGGACTTGAACCAGCACCATGATACTGGCTGCTGATGTCACAAGTAGTGGCTTAACCCTCTTGGCCACAACACTGGCCTGCTACAAAGCAAGTTCCTTCAACCCATTTGTTTTCCATCAAGTTTCCTACTTTGGTATGGCATACTCTATGTGTTCACCAATATCGTTATCACTTCATAGGGTTTATTAGTGAAACAGTTTGGACTGTTTATGAGAGTTGTTCACAGTTGACCTATCCTAGAATGTGGAGCTTTTTACATTCTGGAACACTTAATTAAAATGACAAGAATGGTTCTGTTGCTGGCTGCCCTTGCTATGTCTCAGGCACCTTCAGACCTGGGCATGGTTTTGAACAACGCTGTCTCAGAGCACATCCAGGATCACAAGGGGTGGCAGAAGGGCTGGTGCAGAGCTCCTCTCCTGTGTGGCCTCGGTGGTCCCGCAGGCTGGGGAGAGCCCTGACGCCAGCAGTGCTGTCCCTTCCTCGCCACCTGCCAGGCTTGGTCAAGAGGCCACTCCCTGCGGTCCCTGCATCCTGGGCCCAGTTACCTTCCAGATCCTCAGCCATTCCCTTCAAGGGCACAGCAACTCCTGAGGGCTCTGGGTTGTGGCCAGTTTATACTGAGGACCACGATTCTCAGTGAAGTGAGCCAGTCCAAGGAGAACACATACCATATGTTCTTTGTGATCTAAAGCGACCTTCATGCAAAACAAATAGATACATAGATGAACACATACATGCATGTATTCTCATAGATGAACTGTATGATGGAGACTAGCATATCAGGAAGTGAAGCTATGTTGCAGTAGGTGTCTCTACTCCTGAATAGATGGAGGACTCCCAATGAAATAGTTAAATATACCTTGACAACATGTTTTCCGACTTTTTCCCATACCTACAATGCCATCATGCAGGCATTAATTCTTTTTTTTTTCTAAAGATTTATTTATTTCCATTACAAACTCAGATATACAGAGAGGAGGAGAGACAGAGAGGAAGATCTTCCATCCAGTGATTCACTTCCCAAGTGAGCACAACGGCGGGAGCTGAGCCAATCAGAAGCCAGGAGCCAGAAACTTCCTCCAGGTCTCCCACATGGGTGTAGGGTCCCAAGGCTTTGGGCCGTCCTCCACTGCTTTCCCAGGCCACAAGCAGGGAGCTGGATGGGAAGTGGAGCTGCCGGGATTAGAACTGGCACCCATACGGGATCTTGGCGCGTTCAAGGTGAGGACTTAAGCTGCTAGGCTGCTATGCCGGGCCCCCAGGCATGAATTCTTAAATAACAGAATGTTAACCTTGTAATTGTTACTAGCAGACTATACTACTATGATAATATGGGGGAAAGGGAAGAGAGGAAAAGAAGGGGGAAGGGGAATCCCTTTACCTACAAAACTGTATCATGGAAAATAATAATTAAAAAGAAAACTTAAAAAGATTACATGTAGCTGAAAACCAAGAAGCTGGGGTCTAGGTTAATTCTCACTGCTTCTATAGAAATCATATCGATAAATCCTAGAGTATTTATTGACTTTGTGCTTTGGGATCATAAAGGAGCGAGTTGGCGTTGGCGATTTTTGTAGCCAGGTGACTAAGCCAGTTGTCTGTGTCCCAGGCATTTAAAGATTCCTGCCGCAAGTTCTACCAAGCAGAGCTGGAAGAGCTGGACTTCATGGCCGCCTCGGAAGAGTGCAGGAAACACATCAACAGCTGGGTGGCCAAGACGACAGAAGGTGGGCAGACTGCTCCTCCTTGGCAGCCTGCGGGGGAGCCTTCTCGTCAGAGGGGCTGGGCTGAACGGGGAGGGTGCTGCTCCTGCAGACCCTAAGGAAGTGCAGTCCCCGGCCACGCTCTTTAGCTTTCCGCTCTCGTCGGCCTGTACTCTGCACTTTTCTTCTGGAGCAATCCACACGTTGTCTTTGCACAAACAGTGTAAAGATTCCCATGGCAGAGCTCCAGCTGTCGCATGTGGGGGTGTAGCTCGGCCCCCAGAGTTTTTGTTTTGTGTTGAAAGATTTATTTCCTTATTTGAAAGGCAGAGTTACGGGGAGAGACAGAAACAGAGAGGCCAGACCCCTTCCATCTGCTTAATCACCCCCACGAATAGCTGCAGAGCTGGAGTTGATCTGAAGCCAGGAGCCAGGAGCGTCACCCAGGTCTCCCACAGGGTGCTGGAGCCCAGGCCTTGGAGCCATCCTCCCAAAGCTTTCCCAGGCCCTTTGGCGTGGAGCTGGATCGGAGGCAGAGCAGCAGCGCTTGGATGAGTGCCTATTTGGGTGCCAGCACAACAGGCGATGTCTTGACCCACAATACCACAGCGCTGGCTCCTTGTGCTCGCTGTTATGCATTTTCATAAGACCTGGTCAAACTCTGATTCTTATTGAAGTTTTCCTAACGAAAATTCTTTCTTCTCTTTTTAAGAGATTCCTCTTATTTGATAAGATTCCTCTTATTTGAAATGCAGAGTTAGATGGAGAAACAGGGATCTTCCATCCTTTGGTTCACTTTCCAAGTGGACGAAACAGCTAGAACAGGTCAGGCTTGAAGCCAGGAGTCAGGAGCTTTTTCTGGATTTCCTGCATGGATGCTGAGGCCCAAGCACTTTGTCTATCCTCTGCTGCGTTCCCAGGCCAATCCAGCAAGGAGCTGGATTGGAAATCCAGCATCTTGGCCTTGAACCAGTGCCTCTATAGAATCACAGGCAGCAGTGTCACTTGCAATGCCACAACACCAACCCCCACGCAGGTGCAAGGTCCCAAGGCCTTGGGCCGTCCTTGACTGCTTTCCCAGGCCACAAGCAGGGAGCTGGATGGGAAGCGGGGCAGCCAGGATTAGAACCAGTGCGTCCAAGGTGGGGACTTTAGCCACTAGGCCACCGCATCCAGCCCAGATGTTTCTTCTGTTATCACCACTGTGTTTTGAAAGACAGATATGCTGTTATATCTAAGGGGCAGCAAAGCCCTTCATCCATGGACTTGACTGTTCAAAGAGATCACACCTTGTAAATGTCATGCCTGCAGACAGATCAGTAAACTTCTCAGCTGACTGTTTAATTCTCCCTTTCAGATAAGATCACAGATTTGCTGTCACCAAATTCAGTGAATTCATCCAGTAAGCTGGTTCTGGTGAACGCCATCTACTTCAAAGGAAACTGGGAAAAACAGTTTGACAAAGAGAGTACCCAGGAGAGGCCGTTTAAAGTCAGCAAGGTGAGTACTGCGGGGTAACAGGAGGGGCTCAGGCGAGGTCCTGTGCTGCCCTTCGGGTTCTGAAATATGCAAGAACCTCAGGTAACCTGAGCGAGTAACCTGAGTGCTAGACTGCGTAGGGAGCCCAGCTCCCGGGGGCCTTCCTGTCACCCTGATTCCCTTTTGTGTATCATCCAACGTGGCTGCCTTCTTCCCGGCTGCCGGTCCCTAGGCTGTCGCGTGCCACGGCAGCAGGTTCTATCCGTGGGGCTGATCTCATGGTGTCATTCCCATGATGAACTGACATCCTGCCTGGCTTTTTGGAACGTTCTGGATATAGTTCCGGAGCTGTGCTGTACTGTGTGCAAAGCTGTTTGTGGGGGATCCTGCCCATTGCTCTCTGTTTCCCATAGCAGCTGTCCAGCACCGCCCCCCCAAGATGCCCTCGGATAGTCCTCTTTGGGGTCTGGTATCCAGCACCCTTTACCCAAGTCCTGCCTGGTCTCCAGGAGGCTGTGTGTGTGGAAGGAATGGGTCTCCCACCTCCCCTGGACCTGCCACATGGGTGCAGACTGCCAGGGGGCTGTCATGAGAATGGCTGGCATGTGACTGGCACTTGGCAAATGTGAACCAGCAGGTGATCTTCAGCCAGGAGAGGCAGGATAATAGGAATATATACTGTTGTCCAAACACAAGTGCACAAAGGAGAGGTTGAGCTCAGCCACCCCGGGCTTTGTGTGTGTTCCTTGCCGATGGCCCTCATCTTTCACTTGTCCAATCCAATTAATGCTTTTTAAAACATGTTGCAATTTATTTTCATCCATACTTATTCGACAGACACATTCTGGTTCATTCACATGTTCAGACAAGTTCATTGGTTTACTGTCTACAAAAGCTGGCGGCAGCTAGGGCTGGTCCAAGTCAAGTCCAGGAGCCCAGCACTCAGTCCAGGTCTTATATATGGCTGGCAGTGACAGAAGTACTGATGCCATCCCCTGCTGCCTCCCCGGGGACACATTAGCAGGAAGCTGGAATCAAAGGCAGAGCTGGGACTCAAACCTAGGCACACCGATACGGGATGCTCTCAGCTCAAAGGGCATCCAAGCCATTTTGGCTTATGCTCAAACTTTTCTTTTTTCTTTCCTTTCCTTTCCTCTCCTCTCCTCTCCTCTCCTCTCCTCTCCTCTCCTCTCCTCTCCTCTCCTCTCCTCTCCTCTCCTCTCCTCTCCTCTCCTCTCCTCTCCTCTCCTCTCCTTTTTAAAGGCAGAGAGAGAGATCTTCTCTCTGCTAGTTCACCCTTCAAAGGCCTAAAGTAACTGGGACTGGTTTGAGCCTGAAGGTCAGTTTAGGTCTCGCACATGGTTGACGGGTCCCAAGTGCTTGAGCCGTCACTGCTGTCTCCCAGGGTGTATGTTAACAGGAAGCTGGACTCTGCAGCAGAGACGGGACTCAAACCTAGGCACTGTGGTGTGGGATTGTGGCATCTCGAGTGGTTTGTTCTCTTTGTCCAGACACAAAAGCAGATCAACCAATGAAAATGTGTTCTTAATCACTGGCCCCAAGTTAAATCTTCCAGGCCGACTTGAATGTGAACCTTCCATTTGCTCAAAAAATACACTTTCTTCTAAATTTTATTCTAAAACCAGCTATCTTCTTTTCCCTGGGGGAAAAAAAATTCTCCTTAAAATTCATCCAAGATGTATACTGGGACTTCACATGACTGTAACAGAATACCTAGGTCACTTCTGTCACCAGCAGGTCTGGGGTGGATGAGGCAGGGCCAGTGTGGCACAGGAGCCAGGCTTTGGGGCACCAGTTCTATCCTGCATTGCCGTCTTGTCTCTGCGGTTGAGAAAGGCAGAGATGGGGCTGCCACTGTTATCTGTGCCAGCCCAGGGTTGGGGAAGGATGTGTACAGATGCAGATTTTCTTCATTTCTCGATGAAATGGACTTTGCTTACACAGTCATATATGCAGTGAAGCATCCAGTTACTAAGACCAAATTCTTTTCCATGAGACGAGAGGGGGAACTGGACAGGTGCAGGGCCAAATTGCCCGTAGGTGACAGCTGCTGCTGGAGTCCAGCCCAGCCCGCTTGTCTATGCTTTTAAGTAAAGTGGAACTGGAACGCAGCCATGCTTCTTTATTTACGCGTTGCATCCCACAGTGGCAGAGCTGAGTGACAGCCACCAGGTGTCCCACAGAGCTCTTTCCTGGTTATAGAGAAAATAAGCTGCAAGCTGGTCTGGCAAGGGCAAGGAGGCCATCACTGCTGAGGGCTGGTTCAGGGGAGTTACAAAACAATGGCAAAGCCACAGTCGAAGCATATTGGGTTATTCCGCTTCATGCTGAGTGCCGTGCTCTAGCAGGGAACTTGAGACTGCACAGTGCTTTGCTTGTGTCTGTCTCAGGACACTGTAGAAACTCCAGCAAGTTGGGACTCAAGCAGAGTGGGGGTGGAGAGTGGGACACAAGAGGATTCGGGGAGGAGAGTAGCCACTGTCTGGGGGCATCCACACTCTGGCTGGGGATGCACCTGCAACAAATGTGGGCTGTGTGTGTGGTAATGTGTGAATTTTGCCTAGAATTCCTAGATCGTTCTAGATAGCCATTGGTTGGTTCACACCTTAGTGTGGTAGATGTTGTTCTGTTAGATTCATCCAGTGTACCTACTGGGTCTGGTTTGAATTTCACATCTGTCTCCTTCCTTTACAGAATGAAGAGAAACCCGTGCAGATGATGTTTAGGAAGTCGACTTTTAAAATCACCTACGTAGGCGAGATATTCACCAGAGTTCTGATGCTCCCGTATGTGGGCAAGGAGCTGCAGATGATCATCATGCTTCCAGATGAGCACATGGACCTCAAAGAGGTGACGGGAAGGCCAACGGGGCCGTGCTGGCGTCCTGGGGGTGGCGGTAATATCAAAGGCAGAGTTACAGAGAGGGAGACAGAGAGAGGCAAAGAGGGCTTCCACCTGCTTGCTCACTCTCCAAATAGTTACAAAAGCCAGGAGCCAGGGTGTCCATCAGAGTCTACCATACAGGTGCCGGGGCCCCACCTCTGCTTTCCCAAGCACCATATAGCCGGATCAGAAGCAGAGTAGCCAAGACCTGAACCAGTGCTCAGGCGGGATGCTGGTGTTGCAAGTGGAAGCTTTACCCGTTGTGCCACAAGGCTCCCACTCTTTGGCTTATTGATTTGAAAGGCAGGGTTATAAGAGAGAAGGAGAGCTGTGAGTCTGGCCTCCCGGCAGCACCACTGTCCACTGTTGTCTCCACTGTAGAGCGTCATGCTCACTGTTGCACTGGGCCCTGTCGGCCACATCTGCCCCAGGTCTTAGAATCGCCCACTCTCTTCCAGGTGGAAAAAGAACTCACCTATGAGAGATTTGTGGAATGGACCAAGCCAGATAGGATGGACGAAGAGGAGGTGGACGTGTACCTGCCTCGGTTTAAACTGGAGGAGGATTATGACATGGAAGATGTTCTGCGCCGCCTGGGCATGACGGACGCCTTCGAGGAGGGCAGCGCAGACTTCTCTGGAATGTCCTCCAAAGGAAGCCTGCACCTGTCCAAGGTCTTGCACAAGTCCTTCGTGGAGGTCAACGAGGAGGGCACGGAGGCTGCGGCTGCCACTGCCGGCATCATGATGTTGAGGTGTGCGAGAATCCCCAACCAGTTCCGCGCTGACCACCCCTTCCTCTTCTTCATCCAGCACATCAAGACCAACGCAATTCTCTTCTGCGGCCGCTTCTCCTCTCCGTGAAGGGGGGGTGCCTCTTTTGCTGCACACAGCTTTCTGCTTCCCCTCTCTGCTCCCCAACCCATTTTTCCCGACACTCCACAATGTGCCTGTACCCCAAGTGACCTTATCTTTATGCTGGTGACGGTCTAAAAATAAAGGCCTCTCGTGGAGTCCCAGGTTCTGAATTTTACTGTGTCTGTGTCTTCTCACGTGAGATGGTTTTCGGGCACCCAGAACTGACCCTCTCTGCTGCCCGCTGGTCAGCGTTGGCTCCTGGGCTCAGCCACATCACCAGATGTCACCCACATCCTGCAGCATTGGAAGACCCAATGGCTGCACTGTGGGCAGACAGCTGTGCGTGCCTTCCTGTAGGCACAGGACGAACTGTGCTGTTTGGCTTGCTTCTCTGCTCGCTGGTAATGACATCTTATTGTGTCTTTATTGATGGAGTACAGTGGAGAGCTACAAGGGGAGACAGCTCTCTGGAAAAGCTTCAGCAGAGAAAAGCTGTGTTCTAGAACTGTGCACTTGATCTTAGCCAAAAGGCCAAGAAGCAATGTGTTTTACAACTCTGATGTGCTTGTTGGTAGCTTGCTGGGAGGAAGCTAGAGCAGGCAATGGGTGAGAAACGAGTCCCCCCCCCCCCCCCATGTGTGTTTCTGCCTTTTTGGTAATCAGTAAGGCACACTTGCATTCCGAGGTACCCTACCCACACTCCCTGCAGATGTCACATGGCCGCCAGGGGGCAGAGATAAGACGGCTTCCCTTTGTAGCCATGTAGATCACCACACCTTCATGAGAAAGACACTGAGTGACTAAGGTTTCTGCAGCCACCTGTGCTCCTGGCTAGGAATACAGACAGCCTATTCAACAATATGAGAACTGTTGCTGGGTGCTAGAAAGATCATGACAGGCACAAGTGTAGGATGTACAAAGGAGTCTGAGCCACACTTGGCACCTGCTACTCTAGGCACCACCAGCAGGTTCCGGAGTCCCACCTTCCTAGTTGCTAGCTACAGATACTAGGCAACCGTATAGCTGGTAACAGATCAGCAGATGAAAAGTCACAGTGGCAATCCAATATGAGTTGAAACTCTGAGAGGCAGAAATGGTCATTACTGTGAAATCCATCCATTAAAGGGAAGACCTACGTTCCAGCTTCCCCAGCAGTATAAATTCTCCTAAGAGATGTGAACAACCTGGATATGTTTACACTGAAAATGTTGTCCTTTCCCTGGCTTCTCTGCCCACATTCCATTAGGACTAGGCCTCACCTCTCCTGGCACTCTTGAAAGTACACAAATTATAAATGCAAAGAATCTCGGCGTTTGCATCTTCCCTGACTTGCAGCTTCCATCAACGTCCGTCAGCAACAGTCTAAAAGGATTAGATGGAAATTTCCAGAAGCAAATAGTTCATAGGTTTTAAATTGCACTTCATTCTGAGCTGTGTGATGAAGTCTCCCGTGTCCCACCCACTCTCCCTTGGTCCAGTGTGCACATGACCTGTCCTTTTGTCATAGAGTAGCCTTGTTAGGCCTCTCCACTACCACAGAGTATCACAGTGCCTGAATCCAACTAGCCCTTCTTTTACCTATTATTGTCCCCATCATGCAAGTGCGGTAATGTGGGCCGTTCAGGTAGGACCAAAAAAAGCCACCAAGTTCTTCCTTTAAGGAAAAGGGATGAAAGCTCTCAACATGATAAGGTGAAATCATAGTATACAACGGTACTTCAAAAACAGTGGAAAAGTGCCAGCTAGAGCTTGAACCAAGACCCTGTGACTCGTGGGCATCCCAACCAGCATCTTGAGCCAAACACCTGTCCCCGTTTCTGTTTCATATTGTTAGTAATCTAAGCATTGAAAGACAAGCATGTTTTGTCCTTTAGCCACTTGAGAACTCCTACATCCAGGATTGCATCTATCCACGGTGCTGATTTCATTATGGTGGAGTAGTGAGGATGGAGATGGAGCTGACGGAAGTGGCTCATGAATTCTATGGACTGGCTGAATGGTATCCAGGCAGGCTTTGTGATCATTTGAACAGAAAGGGAGATGTGGAAAATGAAGTAGGAAGAGATTCAGGCAGCTGGGATTCATGTCAGAGCAGCCCCACTCAACAGGGACCCTGTCACCTCCGGCCCAATTAATGCGGCTTCAGCAAAACGGAAGTCCTGCATCATGACTCCACGGCTACCCTCGGCCTCGCTACTCCCACCCACCCACCACCCATTCCCCACAGACTGGGAACAGCTGAACCCTGTCCCTTTGTGACACGTGTTCATCACAGGTAAAGCCCTGGGCATCAGTGAGAGTGTTGCTGCTTGGAGACCCCCAGTCTCCAGGGTGGTGCCCACTCATGAGGGTGCAGATGCCTGAATGTCTGGACCAGGCTCTTGCCTCACACAGGCAGGGATCCTGTGTGTGGTGTGCACACGTGAACAGGAAGGGAATAAACTCGTGTTCACAAGCACTCATGGGCTACCCTACACAGACAGCTGGCATGAGGGGTTGGGGCTTTGAGAGAGAGACAGAAACACACCCTTGTCAACGACATCTAACTCTGTTCCCAGAGAGAAGCCTTCATCAGCTATACCAGGGAGGCGGGGTCTGAGCATGCCTCTTGGTCCCCACGAGACCAGGTGAATCCTAGGAAAATGGGCGTCTCCAGCCGGCTGGTTAAAAGACATTCAATTTCAGTGCTGCAAGAATTCCTGCACACGTACAAGCAGGGAGGCAGAGATCCTGAGGCCCTGCCTGGTTCCTGTGGCACAGCAACTGCTTGCTGGGCTGGCATCCCACACGAGGACCGCTTCGGGTCCCAGCTGCTCCACTTCTGTTCTGGTTCCCTGCTGGTGCACTGGAAGATGGCCCAGAGCTTGCACCCCTGAGCTGTGTGGGGGACCAGAATGGGATTCCAGGCTCCCGAACCTTGCCACCATTTGGGGAGTGAGTTAGTGGATGGGGGCTGTCTCCATCTCTTCCTCTTTCTGTGTCACTCTACCTTTCCCCCCAAATACAAATAACTAAAACAAACAAACAAACAAACAAATCTTTGCCTCAGCACAAACCAAAGTCAAGTTCATCTCATGCAGGGTCCACTTCCTTATTGTACTGTTTGACTTGTATTATTGATTAAAATATGTCCTTAAGCCTGGCGTGATGGCTCAATGGCTAAATGCTCACCTTGCAAGCACCGGGATCATCTATGGGTGCTAGTTTGTGTCCCAGGTGCTCTACTTTCCATCCAGCTCCCTGTTTACAGACTGGGAAAGCAGTGGAGTGTAGCCCAAAGCCTTGGGGCCTTGGACCTGTGTAGGAGACCCAGAAGAAGCACCTGGGTCCTGGCTTTGGATTGGCCACTGGGGGAGTGAACTAGCAATGAAAGATCTTTCTCTCTGTCTCTGCTTCTCTCCAGAAAATCTGACCTGATTTTCCAGTAAAAAGAAATAATTTTTTTTTAATCTGTCCTTTCTACTTTAGTTAGCATCTTGCTTATCTGTGACACAGCTACTACCAACATTGATTGGGGAGCTGTGAGTAAAGGGAAAGCTAGGAGTTACTCAGAATCAGGGTCTGGGTGGTAGCCTAGTGGCTAAAGTCCTCGCCTTAAACACACTGAGATCCCATATCGGTGTCGGTTTTAATCCCGGTTGCCCCATTTCCCATCCAGCTTCCTGCTTGTGGCTTGGGAAAGCAGTCGAGGATAGCACAAATCCTTGGTACCATGCATCCTTATGGGAGACCTGAAAGAAGCTCCTGGCTTTGGATTGGTGCAGCTCTGACCATTGTGGCCACTTGGGTAATGGATCATTGGACGGAAGATCTTTCTCTTTGTCTCTCCTCCTCCCTATATATGTCTGACTTTACAATAAAAATAAATAAATCTTCAAAAAAGAATTAGCATTTGGAACCTTCTTGTTGCTCGCCTATGGTCTCATGGAGGACAGGGTCCCCATCTGTGTTCATTTCAACTTCTTGTCTGGGACCAACAGAGGAATCCAAGGCCGAGATGGAGATACACGGAGGGGCAGTTTTTAGACAGGTGACACTCATTCAGTTGGAATGCAGGCACCTTTCTCTGCCGGTGGGGGGGGAAGGGATGGGGTCGGAGGGAGGGAAAGCTCCTGCCCCTCCCCCCGCCACAGTTGGGGTTGTTCCTTTAAAGGGAACTGAATGTGCAAATAGGGTGGAGTTAGGGCAGGACTTGAGTGTGTGTGGTCATCTCTACGGTGCCCTGGTGTCCGTCCCCACGTGAGGTGCTGTGTATGTTCACATATGGTCATCGTGGAAGTAAAGCTCAGACAAGAGATGGGGAGGAGGAAGTGGCAGGCCTGCAGCTGAGCTGGAGCAGCGGGAAGGAGTGGGGCTTCCAGCACGGAAGGCTGCGGCCCAGATCCTGCTGCAGATGCTCTGCTCCTGGCAACGTGGACCTGCCTCCGGGAGCAGCCTCCCTGGGGGCTGAGCTCTGTGCACTCTGCCCACTTCATCTTTCCTCATCCCTCACCATTGCCCATGACAGCACCCTTCCACAATACCTGCAAAATCACACTTCTCCTGGTTTAAGCCGGTCGATGGTTCCCATAGTCTACAAGATAAAGTGATGGCTAATTTTACATGCCAGCTTGTTCTAACCATAGTAGCCAGGTTTGCAGGCAAACACCCGTCTGTTGCTTTACTCCTCAAATGGTCCCAGTGGCTGGAGCTGATCTGATCTGAAACCGTGAGCCTGGAGCTTCTTCTGGGTCTCCCACGTGGGTGCAGGAGTTCAAGGGCTTGGGCCACTTACTGCTGTTTTCCCAGACCATTAACAGGAAGCTGGATGGGAAGTGGAGTCTCTGTGGCTTGAACTGGCGCCCATACGGATTGCCAGCGCTGTAGGCAGAGGACCAGCTTCCTATGGTACCCTGCTGGACCTAATGAAACAGTTTCACACCTCATTTTTAACATAGCTTTCAAATATAGCAGTATGAGGTGCACACACAGGGTAAAGGCTATGGGAGGGATGGATGGTCTAAACTGAAGTTGATGGGTGCAAACTGCTGGGAACTGCTAACCTCTGGTATCGCTTTCAGTCAGCCTTTTAAAGCCACAGCTCTGGAAACTACTCTTGCAGACGCACATGTCCTGGCCACCAACACCACACACACTGACCCGGAGAAACAGCGGG